TATATATATATATAATATACTGTTATAAATAAGAAATCTTACAGCTTGAACTGCCTTAATATCTTAATAATAAAATAAATATTATTTGCTTCATAAGAAAAAGTAGCAATCTGAAATATACATGATTTATTTCAGGATAATATAAGTGCATCTCTATATTGATGATGTTTATAAAACAAATGCAGAACAATTTATTGTTATTGCGTGATTAAATTTAAAAAGGATCTTGGATAAGACGAAAGCACGCTACACATTTATCAGGTAATTTATCTTTTTTTTTTATTTCTGTGCATGTAAGATTATTTTCATTAAAATAAAAAACGTAGTTAATGTAGATTATAAGATCTTTAATTAGAGCTGTTGAGGCATTTATAATTTCTCATGGATTCAACTAGAAGTAGATGTTAAACTGAAATTATCGAAAAATCAGCAGTAGAAATGTCATGTAAAAATAAAATATAAAAATATGATCATATAAATTAATTTATGTCGGAATAATCAAGGTGGAAATCCTGGAACTTTCAACAGAAAAGAAAGAAAATCCTAAATGAAAACCGCTGTAGAAATTTAGTTAAAATTTGGCCCTGCGAATTGGAGATTCTTTTTATTCATTTATTCTTAATTTTTTATTATGTGATGTTCGCACGATTATTTTTTTATGCTCTTTTTCGATTAAAATGTGGAAATACGGCGTTTGTCAATGTACATGAAATATTACGACTTGCTAGACAAGCAATGTTAGCGTAATTGTAGTCTCTAACACAATAATAGTATCTTTACCTCATCCATATCTTTACCTTAATTATCCAAAAATTATCGCTTATATCTCAACTACTTTTTAAAAGGACATTGGTAACACTAATTAATCAAATCTTCTGGGAGTTAGTAAAAACTTTTCTTTTCACTTCGATTTTATCATCATAACAATCGATAACAAGTTTATCTACAATTTAGTAAATTAAATTAGAGGAGCTACTCTTACAATTAAAATTTGCATAACATATTTGCACTTAATATTTTTTGATAATTTTATTATATATATCACAAAAATCATTTCATTGTAGATTGTATATAGATTTAGTAATATTGTTTTTAATATTATTTTCTAAATATTTTAAAAAATTTTTTGCGAACAGATATTGCATTTAATAAAGCAATACAAATTTAATGTGAATAATTTTATTTACAGATTTTTGTTGTCCAAATTATGCTACTACTTTGAGTGATGTGAAGAAATAATTCTTCGGCTGCATAAAAAAAGCACAAATCACTAAAATAAAAGAAAAATGTCATTAAAATGATAAAAAGAAACATTGCCTAAAATTTTTAAGTTATCATTTGAATAAGTAAAATTTTTATAATATTATCTAACTTTTATATTAATAAAAACATTATTAGGACTTATTTCGATTGAACAAGCGGCCTAATAATATTTATAGTTTATTCTTTTATAAAAATGTTAATATTACATATTTACAAATTTATTTTCAAGAAAATGCAGTAAATATGTAAAATTTTTACTATTACCTTTCTTAACAGAAGCCACATTGTTCAATTTTTATAAATTTGATCACATTTTTCAGGTAAAATTTGCATAAAATGTTTCCTAAAATGTAATATTAATGAGTATCACCAAAAATGGATGCATTTTAAGGTATCTGACTAGTGCAAAATCATGTTTTTGGACAAAGTTGTTGAAATTGAATTTAGTATGAATTTAGATCCCCTGTAAAATACTTTACTTTTGTTTGTACTCCAATTAATCACAAAGTAATAGCAGTGATTAAAGAGAATAGATTTATGTATTTAAGTCTTTGAATGCATTTATCTAAAAATCAGATTTTTTTTCACTTCTTTCAACACCTTAAATACGATATGTTATATTATTTTTAAAATAATTGTCTACAATTTTATCATGAGTGTTTATAAAAGTGGAAGACATGTTTGGAAATACAGGCTAAGAGAAAAAAGTAGAATGTTATTTCTCATACATTTAAAAATTATGAAAAATTTGCTTTTTAACTTCATTGATTTCTAACTCAATAGTATATGTATACTTGCTTTTAAGTTTTTTGTTTCAGACTATATACATTTATTTACAGTGTTTAGCGTATATGCAAAAAAAAGTCATATTTTACGTAAAAACGATAATCTATGGAAAAAATGAAATAATAATAATTTTTTGCACAGAAAAAACAGACAGACTGGTTTTATAAAATTTTTATTTAATATTTTAAACAAAATTGTCGAAACTAGTCGGATACCTTAAATGTAATCTCTAATCTTTTAATATTTATATTAATCCTTGAATTCTGAATATGATCTAGAATACTTAATTTTATTTTTGATAATATTCGTTTAGACATACTTTCTTATTGTATGTAAATATAAAAATGTTTGCACTAAAATATATTTATATTTTTGTTCAGACATACATTTCCAGAATAAAACTATTTTAACTAAAAGATTCATTTGTTCTTTCTTTCAAATATTTCATTGACGTTCTTACATCACATTACGATAAAATTAAACACTACTCTGTTTTTCGTGTTATTTCTTTCCTAATTTTATTTGTATTTCGTTTTTTCACGTGGGGAAAATTTTCAGAATTTTGTTTTTTCAAACAGAATGTAAACATTGATAACGTTTCATTTTTATATTGGTTAATAATTTATTATTTTTAAGCACTCTGTTAAAGGCAAATTGAAAATGAATGCAAGAAATAAATATTTTGAAATGCATAAAAATATTTAAAAAAATATTTACGAATAACATCACCATTCAATTAGTCATCATCATTTAATGGGTCAAATTAATTGGTCTGACTACCGTATAGATATCTTCAATTAATAAAGCAAATTAAATTAATTAGTATTTTCATATACTTTCTAATAGTCATTAAATGAAGCATATCATTTAAATATACATACAACATACATATATACAATATATACACATGTTAGGCTTGTTGAATGTTATCAATAAATAAAAATAAATTTAAATCCATGCCCTTGTTCATTTCAACAACATATTTTTTCCTGGAAGCAATTTAAAATTAGTTTTTCAATATACTGATTTAAAATGAGGATGCATGAAATGCCATTGAAGGTATTTTATTTGAAAAAATAGACTTGAGAAGGGTAAAAATTCTATTAAAAACAAACATCTATCATAAAGTAAAACTACGCATAGAATGTACTTATGCAAGAACAGAAATAAACATACTCTAATTTTGGTTCTATTAACAAGAGCTTTCCTTAGTGTTTAAGTACTAATTGATTTATAATCTGATTCTAGAGAGATATTGTTTACATTTTATTAGCCTGAAAAACTTATCTTTTAATTGGTAGTAGAATTTAAAAAATAATTATTAAATCCATAAATGCATTATTTAAACTATGAGAGTTACAGCTCATTAAAGCAAATCCTTTTGTGTAATTTTATTTTTTAATTAAATTCCTTAGATCAGAAAGGAATTGTAAAATAAAACCCTGAAACATGCGAAAAGAAAGTATTCTCTATAATTTAAAAGGTGTGCGTAGTGTGTTATTGACATATACCTTTTACTTAATTATAAATCAACATTTCTGAGTTACTGGAACACCTTTCAAGGGTTATTTAGATAAATGAAAAGTCATTTATAAATTGCTCAGAAAGTTCTATCCTTATCATAAAGACCCATTAAAAATAATAAAAATGCAGCAATATCAAACATTATTTCTTAGTTCTTTAAAATACAAAGACATATATAGCAAAAAAGATTTTATGATAATGCTTTAAACCCCGAGAAAGTTTTAATTTCTTCTCTAGAACGAATACTTCACACCGAGAAAAAAAGTCCGGGAAAAATTCAAAATATTGTTTAATTTGCACCGTTTATGGCTCTATAGAAACACCAAGCATCTCGATAATTTTTACAGATGCGGTTTAGTAAGAATTCTGGTAAAATTAATCGTAAAATGTCATCTTATAATACGAGGGTTGCTATTTATATTTCTGGCCTTGGCAACCGTAAGTATTGCTAGGCGACCGCAGACGATTTTAATCGAAAGTTTGATATTTTTAAACATAAATTCAGCAGACGATTTACCATTATAGCTTCATTTGTGTTGTTGACAGTAAATTGAAAAGTTCTTCTCTTTCAAAAAATGGAATTGAATCGTGAACATTTTCGTGCCATTATTTTTCATAACTTTCGACTTGGACTGTCAAGACAAGAGTGCTTCGATGAACTTAATTCTTTACTCAGCGATAAAGCGCCATCCTACAGCACTGTAAAAAATTGGTATAACGAATTTAATCATGGTCGATGTTCGATGCAGGACGAATCCCGTGCAGGTCGTCCAAAATCCGTTGTTGTGCCAGAAAAGATCGATGCTGTGCGTGAACTGATAAAGCAAGATCTTCATGTGACATACCGTGAGATAGAAGCGTCTTTGAACGTTAGTATGACAAGCATCAATGAAATATTACATGATTATTTGAGCGTAAAAAAAATTTGTTCGCGTTGGATCCCGCATAATCTAACAAACGCTCAAAAAAAGGCTCGTGTCGATTGGTGCAACTAAATGTTGGAAAAATACGTTCAAGGTACATCAAAGGCTGTGTATAACATCTACACAGGTGACGAATCATGGATCTATGCATATGAGCCGTAAACAAAACAGCAATCAACTGTATGGGTCTTCCAAGACGAGGCAAAACCAACAAAAGTTGTTCGAGGAAGAAGCACATCGAAACAAATGATTGCCTATTTCTTCGCCATTAACGGTCATGTGGCAACAGTGGCGTTAGAGCAACGCAGGACGGTCAATTCTGAATGGTACACGATCACTTGTTTGCCAGAAGTCATCGGAGAAATTCGAAAAAAGCAGAAGAACAGGCGAATCATTCTTCATCATGACAATGCGAGCTCTCACACATCGACTCAAACAAAGGCATTTCTGACGGAGCAAAAGATTGAACTGATGGGTCATCCGCCGTACAGCCCTGATTTGGCATCCAATGACTTCTTCTTATTCCCACACATCAAAAATAAATTGCGTTTACGACGATTTTCGACCCCCGAAGAAGCGGTTGATGCATTCAAAACGCATGTTTTGGAGTTACCTCAATCGGACTGGAAAAAGTGCTTTGAAAATTGGTTCAAACGCATGCAAAAGTGTATTGATCATCATGGAGAATATTTTGAAAAACAATATAACCAATTTCGATCCTACATATTTGTTTTTTCATTATTAGGCTAGAAATATAAATAGCAACCCTCGTATAGGATGTAATTGGACAAATATGAAAAAATAGTAATTTTATCAGTATACCTTAGAGCATAGGATGAAAGCTATTTATTCGTTTAAAATTACTTTTTAGTTTTGATATATTTTTTACTAAATATGAGGTAATAAGAGGTATAATTTTGAAAACAATTTCTAGTTAATTGTTACTTTTCGAATGAGAAAAATTATCAATTGAATGGTATAAATACCAAAAATGTAAGTTTATTTACCAGAATATTTTTTTTAGAACCAGAAATGACATTACCCTACAGTAAGGTAATTTTACGTGATTTTGTTTCTCTGTGCAGTTAAACACAGCTCTAACATATTCAATGAATCAAAGAAAAATAATTAAATTCATGATTTCTATGGGCAAGCCCTACGAGACACTGGGAAAAATAAATTTTAAATATTGAGATCAGTAGAACTAATTATGGGATATAAGTGAGGTAGCAAATCGTGATGGAACCTTTTGAATTTGTATAATATATAAAGATTTTTATTGCATTCTAATAGATGGAAATTTGGACTAATAAAAAAAGAACCTGGAATATACAGTTGGGCTACAGAAAAAATGTCCTCAATAAACACTGAGCTAAGTTATTATTCAATTTGATTTTCTCAGAAGCTTACTTTTTGTCTTTGTAATACAATCAATTTCTAAGATTTTCGTGCTTTTTCTGTTTTTACTTGTTAATGCCTCTTCTGTTTGTAGACAATTTTAAAGGGAACTGTTCTACAGTAGTTTGGGCGTTATACATAGAATGATATGTAATGCTTACAAATTAGTTTTGCTGCGATTATAACTATCATATTACCCCCCTGCTAGTTCTACTGATTGTTAAACATTCATTGCGTAGCAATTATTAGTATCAAATAAATAACTTAACATGAAACAATTTAAAAGAAGAAGAAAAAATACACACAATGTTTTGTAATTTCCTCCCTTAATAAATATTTTATAAATCCTTTATAGAAAAATAAGTCTAGATTATATACACTATATGAGTCACAAATTGATATTTATTCGAAGAAAAAAAAATTAAAATAATCTAACTAAATACTTATGCGAGAAAAAAAATCAATGAGTTTTTTTTTGTTAAGTGGGAAAAAAATCACTATAAAATGTAAATCCCAGTCAACTTTTTTAAATATATTTTTTAGTCTATTTATTTTTTGAACGCATTAAAATTAAATAAAATAAAAAGATAATTTAAAAAAAAAATAGTTAAATATCCTTGTACCTGCCGAATCGAAAAGAACATAAAAAGCTTTAAAATAGACAAACTTTATTAGTATTTATGCGAAAAAAAGCTTTAAGAAATCTACATTTAACATGAATGCGAAGAAAAAACAAAAATTTAAAAAAATCCAAAAAAGAATATGTATGCAAAAATAGAAAAAACAGGAATTTTAAAGCAGTAATTTTTCAACTAAACTTTAAGAGAAACCTATCAGATCAATATTAGGATATCCTTATCCTAATATTGATGAAGTTAGATGAAAAACATCAAACTCAGTTTGGTTGTCGGATGTAATTAAAACAAGGTGAAAAGTTATTATCAGAAACACTTCCAAGGTTTTCCCGGCTTCAAAATTGGTTATGATGTTTTTAATCCTTCTTTCTTAATAGTGACCAGTGGGATTTTATTTAAATTTTTACCTTTTCCATCTTAAGTATTAATTCATGACTAATAACGTGTTGGTATTTTTAATTTAATATTTAATAAGAATCTATAAATATGCATTGAAAGAAATGATTACGTAAAATCCTATAAGCGAAATATTTTTTTATCTGAGGAAAAATATGAAAAAGCTATGGTTAATCTATTTTGAAAGCTTTAT